ACATTATGAATACCTTCCTGATTACTTAGCACCTCTGAAAAAATATGAATACTATATGATCTTGATAAGTATTTTCCTGAAGGACTAATGAATCTGTTAGCTATCAAACCCCATTTATATGGATATTGATTTTAAAATCCTATTAAATTACAAAAGTTTTATAGTACCTTACCTGATAAATACCAAGTATCTTTGAAGAATAACTGGATCCTTTAGTGTGTTCCTTATGTGACATGTATATGTTTTACCTGTTTTAAAGCGTGATTTTCCAAAATTACAGATTTACTAATGTTTTGATTTGTACCCTACCTGATAAATACCAAGTATCTTTGAAGAATAACTGGATCCTTTAGTGTGTTCCTTATGTGACGTGTATATGTTTTACCTGTTTTAAAGCATGATTTTCCAAAATTACAGATTTACTGATGTTTGATTTACTTTTAAATGATATATGGCTACATGATATGTGTTCTATGATTACTTGTTTTTACTGGAAAGTATAATCGTTCATGATTTATGGATAAGTATCTAATGGTTACTACTTGAACTATTTTTTTGAGACATTATCTGGGTAGGCTGGAGTGTGGAGTTATATTTCTCAACTTGTAAATTATTATATATTTAGACAGATCGAGCTGGTAATTCCTTACAAACCTAAGGTGACCCTTGGGTAGGCTTCGAGGCCCGAGAAACTTCTTGAGTAGGATCTCAGGCCCTAAGGCACTCCCTTGGGTAAATCATAAGACTGAATATAGTGTGTGGGTAGAGGGAATTCATGTGATTTAAATAACAACATGATCATTTTTACAATATACTACGAATCATGATTTTGATATTATAGGGTACTACTAAATATTATTTTTACTGGGGGTTGTGTGGGTAGGCTTGAGTATGCAGGTTCAGCTCGATCAAACTGGCAATTCCTTGTATTGGTTAAGACTGATCAAGCTAGTAATTCCTTACGAACCTAAAGAAACCCTTGGGTAGGCCCATAAGCCTCAAGGTACTCCTTTAGGGTGGCACTTTTGTCGTGCTTAGGGTAAGTCCTTATGGATACAATTATGGCTGCATAGAGGTATTCGATTGGAGGGTATTCGTGGTGGGGTTCAATAATCCATGAAATAATTCATAAAATCCTTTGTTCCTTGCAACCCAATTGATGAGAAATAAGAGTAAAGGGAAAGGAGGAAAAAGCCTTCGACGCGTGCTATCGGTGCTCTCCTCGATGACCACAAACCGCCTTAGCTTGCTAGCTCTTCTCAGACGCCTAGCTTTACACTCCTTAGAGCTCATTAATGGAGGAACACCACTAAAAATTGAGGGAAAAATGATGAAGAATATGAAGAACATTAAGATTTTTTTGCTGGAGTACGTAACCTCTTTCATCTCTCTTTTGAGGTGTCCTTTAATAATAAAATATCCAAGGGTAATCTTAGGATTTTGCACTCAAAATACCCATCATACCCCTAGAGTCATCTTTAGTGTGTGAGGTTTATCTTTACTGGGGAAATGATCCCCAACAGTTGTTACAACCATCAGACATGTATTGCCACCTGTCATTTTGTGAAAAATATTTTGCATTTCTACGCTAGAAATGCCAAGGCATTTCAATCTGCTTCAACAATGTGTGATGTCATGGCATCTCTTCTCAACTCGCCCTTTTTGCTTATTATTTCCTGTACATCACTAAAAACCATACTTTTCTCCTCATACAAGACCTTACCAAAATAAAATCACACCACCATAAATGATGCATCTACATACATCTATAACCTATATAAACCCTTAAACAAAAAATACTTAAGTGAAAAGGCCTTAAAAAGCCTTTTTTGGAGTTATCACACCCCCAAACTTAAGTTATTGCTTGTCCTCAAGTATTGGATATCAATCAACACAAATAAAATGTCATGACAATTTTCAACAATAAGACAGTTAAGATAAAAATAGAATTTCAATCCTATAAAAAATTGGCTTCAACATGCTAAACATATCAAGAAATCAATTACTTTTCTCTAGGACAAGATTCTTTGTGGTTGTGTGTGTGCATGATTGTGTATAATCTATACTTAACAAATTTAAGCAATTTCTAATTAAGCTCCCTAGTTTTTTCCCTACATTTACTTATTCATTATGAAAATTTATACTCCCTTTTTTTCTTTTTAATTTCTCTTTTTTTAACACTGCTATGAGGAGAGTCAGCACATTACACCTACCATCTCACACTCTAGGTGAAAGAGAGCATACCTTCCACCCTCAAGCTAGTCAAGTAGAGTCATCTCTATGACTATTTTCATTCACTCATATGCATATGGCTGCCATTTATTAAAGAAAGTTCCAAGAACTACCACGAAAAAGAGGAGTGTCCCTCTACGACTATGCCGAAACATTTATTCATAATTTTAGACATAAGGGATTTCTCATTGATTTATTATTTCAACATAATTCCAAATTTTAATGCCAAGGCTAACTAGAGTTCTTTTATAAAAATTTCTTAAATTCCTTAAGTATATAGGACATACTATCGTGTAAAAATAATTCACAAAGCATCAAACCCTAGAGTCAGTTCTATCATTCTTAACAGTCATTTACATTCAATTTCTAGCCTAAAAAGTTCATCATCATCGGATATCACCAAAGCATTTTGTCTAATTGTCCTACCATTTATTGATGCCAAGGCATAATATTATGTTAGCACTATCATGCATATGTTCTACAAAGAACAACTACCTCCCCCAAACTTGAGAGAATCATTATCCTCAATGCATAATAAAACAAATTAATTACATAAACTAAATGCAATGTTATGGAATGCAAAATTAATACAAAGAGAGTTACCTTAATTTTTGATGGCGGTGGCGGTGTTGTGGTGGAAGTGCCTGCAGCTCCATGTCTTGTTTTCTTTCAGAGGAGTGCAGGGCTGGAATCGAAAGAAGTTGAATGATATTGAGCAATATTAGCGCGCCCTACTAATGTCTTAGTGCAACGGCTGGTCCGAAAGGCGGAAGGAGGTGCATGTGTAACAACTTAACTAGGGTTGGTTTAAATGGTACCACATGAGACTCTGAAGTAAGGGACTGATGGGTAGGATCTGAGACTGGCTAAGAAATGAGAGGATCAACATCATCACTCAAGAGATGCCTCAACATCAAATGTGGCAGAATTTCATCGTGGAAACCCATAAAATTTCGTTCAATATGTGAAGCATTTCTTGAAACATTAACTTCACTACAACATACCTCTTCTTTACATAGCCAATTTTTTTTAAATCACCGTGTGGAGCATACAAAAGAGTCTGTGTTTGCTAGAAAGTTTCCTTGAGAGCAAGCATTCTTGCCTCGACATCAGATGGTTTGTCATTCTCAGACTCTATAGTCGTAGCTATCTTAGATTTAGGGTTAACCAAACCCAATAACATTAGAAATTTGGTTCTTGTTATGCCCGAAACCACAGACAAGACCTCATCAAAACTAATTTCAGAAATATTTTTCTTTTGACAGAGTGCGGTAATAAGATTCAGAAAGACCAAAGCGCTAGCTTTCTTGCTCAAGCATTCATGCAATTGTTCAACAATTATGATCCCTATATCAATAGGATGTGTAACTATAATGGAGTGTAAAAGTATTAAACGTGGAAGACTTACCATTATATTATGGGTGGTCAGCATGAGCTTATGCTTCATAAAATGGTTCCATAGCTTTGAACGTGGTTGAAGTCGTTCTCGATTAACGGAGTAATAGTTAGTCTGTCAGCCATTCCAAGTGGTATTTGAAAAGAAAAATCCTCCAGGAATTCATCGTAAGTTGCACTGTAAGCATCTTTCTCAAAGTTTGAATGATGATCTTTAACACCCTATAAATGAAAATTATGATTAATGGAAAAGGGTGTGAACTGAATATATTTACCTTGAACGAAAATGACATGTTGATTTGGTTTAGAAATATTTGCATAGAACTCTTTTATTAAAGAGGCATTGATGGGGTTTGGGTGCCTTGAAAACTTATGTCATTTTAATGGCTCAACAATGTCCATAATGTCTGGTCCAAAACCCCTGTCTTGTTCATCGGTGAAGACAAACCCCAACTCAAAGAAAAGCTTGTAGTTCTTGAAATTTTGAAATCGTTTCTTTGTTGTATCGTCTACAAAATGCCGAGGAATCATAGTTTTAGCTTTAGCGGGTCATGTACACGCCATTTTTGTACTGGTTTGAAGGAAAATCACGAAAAGTTGAGAACTTGTTATGCTTCAATGGCATCAGTTATGGAGAAAAATGAGAGAAGAAGAAGATGAAAAAAAAAGTTAAAAGAATAATGAGAAAGATGAAGTGAGTGGACGATTGAAAAAAATGAGTGGAATAGGTAAATGAGTAGGTGGGAAAAGAAAAAGTAAATTGTAAAATTAATATGGTGTGAAAGGATAATGCAGAGAGAGAAATAATATATGGAAATAAATAATATAAAAAAAAATAAAAAAATATTCCCCCTTTAATGTCTTTTTCCATCCCCTATTGGCAACTGTTCTTTTGTACATTCCTGGCTACTAGTGGGTCCCTATAGTACAAAACAAATTGTCATTATCAACGAATAATAAAAATAAAATAAAGATAAAGATAAAAGAAAAAAAATTGTTATTTATGCACAATCAACAGAATTCAATGTCCTGGCATTGAATTTTTGTTCATGGTTCAGGCACACTCAGACGTCGTGCAGATACAACACCGACTTATCACACAACATTAGAGCTCCATTGTACACTTTCAATCGCTGACCATTAGCTTTAAAGACCGTCCCATCGTTGTCATTTTTTATATCAATAGCTCCATGGGGATATACCTAATGCACCTCAAAAGGACCTGACCATATAGATTTGAGTTTTCCAGGGAAGGGCTTAAGTATAAAATTGTAAAGTAACACTTGTTGGCCAACTTAAAAATACTGTGGCATCAGCTTTAGGTCGTTCCACTTTTTAGTATTTTTCTTGTATATCCTAGTTTTCTCACATGCTTATGCCCTTAACTCTCCCATCTTATTGAATTCCAGTAATCTTTTCTCTCCAGTTAATTGAGCATCGGAATTTAACCTCTTAATAGCCCAAAACGCTTTATGTTTTATCTCAACAGGGTGGTGGCAAGCCTTCCCATACACCAACTTGAAGAGTGACTTGCCCAGAGGAGTCTTAAAAGCTATTATATATGCCCACAGTGCTTCATCTAACTTCGGTGACCAATTCTTCCGCCTCAGATTCACCACTTTCTCTAATATCTGCTTTATCCCGCGGTTGGATATTTCAACTTGGTCACTCGTCTGTAGATGGTATGCCATGGCAATCTTGTGGGACTCCATATCGTATCAATGCCTTGTCAATCAACCTATTATCAAAGTGGGTTACCTCATCGCTAATGATGACTTGAGGCACTCCAAACCAAGTGAAGATAGATTTATACAAAAACTTGAGTACGATTTTGGAATCATTCTTTGATGTTGCAATTGCTTCCACCCACTTGGAAACATAATCCATAGCCAACAAAATGTACAGATCACCACAAGAAGATGGTAATGGTCCTATGAAATCAATGCCCCAAATGTCAAACAACTCAATTTCCAAAATACCTTGCAGTGGCATTTCATGTCGCCTTCATATGTTCCCAGTGCATTGGCGATCGCGCAGGGCTTTTAAAATGCCTGAGCATCCTGAACAAAGTTGACCAATATTTAGTGCCTATTAGGTATTTTCTAAATTTATCAAACGCAAAACTATGACAAGTAATTCTTCTCGATGGTTGTCTAATTCATTTTTCCTTATCAAGGTGCAACTAGCATAATATATAACATGAAAATTTTACCTTGTTGTTGCCCTAAAATAGCTCCTATGGCATAATCTCTTCCATCACACATTATCTGAAATGGTGATGCCCAGTCGGGAGAACTACAATGGGCACTGAGATCAATCGTTGCTTCAACTCAGTGAATGAGCCTAGGCATAATTCATCGAACACAAAGGGTTCCCTTATTCCCTCGATAAGTAGGTGGTGGCAATTTTCAATTATTTTAATTTTTTTCTTTATCCACCTCAATGCCATTGTGAGATATTTTACTCCCTAAATAATGCCTTCAGTCACCATGAAGTGACATTTCTCCCAGTTCAAAACAAGATCAACCTTCTCACATCTCTTGAGAACTTTTTCCAAATTGCCAAGGCATCATTCAAAGTCGTCTCCAGAAATGGAGAAATCATCCATGAATATCTCAAGGAAGTCCTCAACCATATCAGAAAAGATAACTTGCATGCAACGTTGAAAAGTTGTCGGGCCATTACAGAGTCCAAAAGGCATCATCCTAAAGGCAAAAGTGTCATAGGGACAAGTAAATGTATTCTTCTCCTAGTCCTCTGATGCTATGGCAATTTGATTGTACCCAGAATATCCATCTAAGAAATAGTAGAATACTTTGCAAGCCAATCGATCTAATATTTGATCGATGAATAGTAGAGAAAATGTCCATTATTTGTATCTTTGTTGAGCTTACGATAATCCATACATATCCTCCGTCTAGTGACAATACGTGTGGGTAATAGCTCATTATCCTCATTGGTAACTACAATCGTGCCACCTTTTTTTGGAACATATTGGGCAGGGTTATTAGATATCGAATAAATTACTCCAGCATCAATCCATTTAAGTATTTATTTTATTACCACTTTATTCATAACGGGGTTGAGTATTCATTGTGGTTCTTGAGTTTCCATGTCATTCTTTTAACAGGATTTTATGCATGCAAATAATGGGACTAATCCCCTTTAAATCAGCCCATGTCCAACCAAGCGCTTCCTTATGCTGTAACAAAACATGTAATAAACTTTGCACTTGGTTAGTAGTAAGCTTAGAGGAAATAGTCATAGCTAAAGTATTATCACTATGAAAATAAACATATTTAAGATGCCCTAGCAAAGGTTTTAGTTCTAGGGTATGTGCATGCACTAATGATGGCTTAGGAGGAATAAGTTCATCAAAATCAAGGGGTTCAAAGTTCATACCTAATCTAGCTAGTAATCAGCTAGATTGTTCCACCCCAGATGGTAATTTGTCACACTCCTCCATGATTTCATCATCAATTGAATATTCCTTGTTTGCTAGCCGAAAAAAGTTGTTATGGCAAAGTTGTTCAATTTCTTCTTCAAGCAATGAGTTTATTTTGAAAATGCCTTGGCATTATTCAGGGTCAGTAACATACTTGAGAGTACGAAAAACATTGACAATCACACATTGGTCAACCACTATCATGGTAAGTTATTCTTTTTCGTAATTAATCAGAATATGACCATTGGCTAGGAAAAGCCTATCCATAATTATTGGTGCCTTGGCATAAACTTCACAATCAAGGATAAGGAAGTCGATTGGAAACACAAATTTATCCACCCTCACTATAACATCCTCGACTCTCCCTTCAGGTCTAATATGGGATCGGTCGGAAAGTTGTAGAATCACAGAGGTTGGTCTCGCATCTCTTATGACAAGCTTCAATAATATAGATTTTGGCATTAAGTTCACACTTGAACGAATATCACATAGTGCCTTTCCAACGAAATTAGTTCCTATAGAACATAGGAATAATGAAACTTCTAGGATCATTTTGCTTTGGTGACAACTTACTCAATAATGAGCAATATTCTTTTGCAGTGGACACTGTCTCATACTTCTCAACTTTCCTTTTCTTGGTGAAAATTTCCTTAAGAAATTTGGCATAAGTCGGCATTTGTTCAACAGCTTCCAAGAAATGTACATTAATGTGGAGCTGATAAATAATGTCCACAAACTTTTTGAATTGAACTTCATCGTTGTACTTCTTCAGTCTTTGAGGGAAAGGTGGTGGGGGTCTAACTTCCTTAACTATGGGAGTCAAAATTTCTTTTGCCTTGGCATTATAATTTAATGCTTATGTAGGCTCACTAGTAGAACCATCCTCCTTATCCTTTTCGATAAAGATTTCATCGTGTAATTCATATTTAACTTGTTTAACAATGGGGATACGATCATCATGTTGTGTTCCCCCAACTTTGACTTGATGATTAATTTTCATTCCACTCCTAAGAGTCAATATGTTGTATTGATCTTTTCCAAGAGATTTAGTGACTTCAGTGTCACTTGGAAACCATCCTTGTTAGCGCTCTTTCAATGTCGCAGCAATCTGACCAACTTGTCCTTCCAAAGCTCTCAAAGACAAGCTATGGCTTTGAAGTAAGGTGTCTTGTCTATGAGGCAAAGCTCCTTGATTTTTAAATGAAGTAGAATGGTCTTGCAGTATTATCTTCGTAGTAGATATAAATCTTGATTTGTAGATTCTAAAGAACTAATGCTTGCTAAAGATGAAGCTCCTTTATTAACATTTTTCCATGTCATAGTATTTTGGTAGCCTTGAGATTCAGTGTAATTATGGTGACGAGTAGGTTGACTAGTATTATGGGTTTCTTGATTACCCCATGAAAAGTTAGGGTGTTGACGCCATCTTGCATTATAAGTGTTAGAATAGGGATTGTTATTATTTCTATTGAAATTACCTACAAAGTTGATAGACTCATGATTGGTTGGGCATTCGCTCTCATGATGATTGCCTTAAAATAACAGGCATGCCAAGCTAGCTGCTTTCACTTCCTTTACCTTAGTGGAGCCTTGCAAAATTTGTAGCATATTAGTGATAGTTGGGAGTTGAGCAGACACCGAGTCCTTGGTATCTAACTCGAATGCCCCAGGTGCCTTTCTCCCAGTTCCAATCCTTGAGGAAGGGAATTAGTTGTAATTGTTGACAATTCTATCCAAAATAGCAAACGCCTTAGTAGGTGATTTATCTAGCAATGTCCTATTTGTCAAGGCATCAAGCATCATCCTCATGGGTGTATTGACTCCATTATAAAAAATAACAACTTGAGTCCAGTCTTGAAACCATGATTTGAACACTTTAAAAAAAACTCTTGTAACAATCCCCACATTCATACATAGATTCATCATCGCCCTGGCGAAAGGATGTTATGCCATTCCTTAGCTGAGTGTTCATGTTCGATGGGTTATAGCACATTAGAAAACTTTTACAAAGATCAGCCCATGATTCCATCGTACCAGATGAAACACCACTCAACCAAGCCCTCGCTCGATCATGCAAAGAGTATAGCACATCCACAAGCACTCATTGTTAGCAGAAAGAATCACAAACCTCCAAAAAGTTACCAATATGATGTCTGGCATCTTCAGTTGGCATGCCCCCAAACTGCCCTATAGAATTCAAGGGTGCCACAATTTCAGGATTCATATCATCCAATATAGGATTCAAATTATCATGAATAGCACGAGGCCTATTAGCATGTCCCACATTTTGGAATGCCTCGACATTTTGATTTCTGTCAGCTTGACCAATACCCTGGTTCCTAATTTGATATATGTTTTCTTGAGCACGTCTCCTTTGCCTAAAGTCTCTCAATCTCAGGTTCAATTGGTTCCAATGGCTTGTTAGAATGTCTTTTAGGATACCCAAAATAAGCCTAAAAAGAATAAAGTAAAATATAAAGTAAACTATACAAAAATAAAGAAGCAAAAATAAAATGCTTTGGCAAAACTAATTAACTTCATGTTGCTAATCCCCAGCAACGGTGCCAGAAACTTGTTACGTTTTGTGAGTACTATAAAATTATATACAATTAATGTACAAGTATACACAATCGCTCAAGTAATATAATGATGAGTGAGTATTGTCTCTACAGGGATTGGTGGAAATTTATGAGTTTAACCAAAGCAAAGGATTACTTTATCTAAGTATAGTTAGTGTGATGTACCAATGAAAAATGTCAAGGCAATATTTATTGGTGGGGATAGAATGATAGTGTGATGTGGTAGTAAATGTAGAGGTTGTGGAAAAAAGGATAGAAATGTCGTGGTAAAACAAATTATGTGTAGTGAAATAACGTGGAAATATAAAGGAAAACAAAAAGGTAAATACTGGATTTGACTATGATGACTTAATAATCCTTGCACAAAAAGCTACTACGGGAATAAATGATATGAGTCACTAGGAAATTCAAGTCTAACTTCTCAAGATGTTCTCACTTCTATGTTTTACTTGCCTGACAGAGTTCACTAAAGATGCCCTATGCTATCTCTAGTCAAGGGACTCGACAGGTTGAGAATGCCATGGCGATACCTATTGGCGTTAGTAGGTGCAAAGTTCCCATCAGTCTAACAGAATATGTCATGGAAATACCATTTAGTATTCGAACTAACATCTACCCTCTCAACCGAGCACTACTCCTTTTAGTCGATTGAAATCCTAGCCTTGTGTTAAAGGTGGATTAGGCTTAG